TTAGGTTCAATTTGTGTTACTGATTCGTGGATGCGTACTGCTAAAGAGTACCGTACTAGAGCGAAACAGCTATCCAGCCAGTTCCCAACTTAATTCCGTTTATAATCTCAAAATTATTTATGATTGAATGAAACTTAAATATTTTTAAAGTAATATTATATAATCGTATTCACTTATCCCTTTCTCTTCACCTTTTGTCTGATTTTCATTATTATTAATAATGTACAGACTCATAGTTAAATATCAACTTTTCTTTATTGTTAAGGTATTTAGTTTCATTATATATTTGAAAATATTTGATTATTTATACGCTGACTTGTTTAGTAAATATTCTAATTTATTATTGAATTCCTAACAGTTTGTAATCCAATTTATATAGCACACACATATGAGAAAATTAACCATTCGAACTGAATTGACCTGTCTGATAGCTAAATGTTATCATCATATTTTGATTCAAATTAAGCTTGATAAACAAAACAGTGCGATCAATAAGATTAATTAAGCGGTGATGACGTTTAGACAGATAACCCAATAAGACGTTTTACATTTCGAACTATTCGTTAGATAACACCTAATGTGAAGTGCGAATATAGATTTTACAGTTTCATTGTAAGAGATATTTGATAAACATTCAATTAAAAAATTACACTACATATAAATTCAAACAAACTATTTATTGTCTTATCAGTTGAACATTATTCAGACCAACAGTCGGATATTATTTTAAAAAGACTCAAGTGAAGTAAGCATTTCGTTTATAACAACTTAAGCCGAGTAAACAAAATACAACAAGCTAAAGGAATGTGAATGTAATTCACACAATGTTAAACGGTTTCACACTATTGAGTAGTCTATTTAATTCTAGAAAGATTTTTTTGATAGAATTCTATTTAGTGTAGAGTGTGTTTGAATAACCAGCTCAAACAATAAGTTAACCCGGTGAATTCATTTCGTTACAAATTAGTTCCTACAGTGAATCACATGAGCACTATCTTAGTAAATCATATAGGAAATTAGTGGCCAGGGCTGTTTACTCAAACACAAACAGTCGAGTGAGAGCTTATGGAGAACTGTTATCTAGCTTTACAACCCCAAGTTATGTACGACAAGGCTGTCCACTATCTCCATTTTTATTGAACTTCATCATAGACCTACTGGAAATAAATGGAAATCAAACCTGCTGCAAATAACACTCTCGTCGACTGAATTTTTAGGAATTGATCTTTTACCAGGAGGTTCACTTATCGACTTAGAATACGCAGATGACATAGTCCTGTTTGGTGAAGACGCTGACAAAATGCGGAGTCTTCTGTTAGAACTGAGTAATAATGCCAGGATGTTTGGGATGCGTTTCTCCCCATTCAAATGTAAATTGTTACTCCAGGACTGGCCTGCGTCAACACCTGAACTAAGGATAGGGAGTGAAGTAGTCGAACGCGTCGACAACTTCACTTATCATGGAAGTCTGATCAGCCCTAATGGGTTGGTGTCTGACGAAATCTCAGCACGGATTCGAAAAGCTTGTTTGGCCTTTGCCAACTTACGTCACCTATGGCGAAGATGAGATATCCGTTTATCAATTAAGGGACGAGTATACTGCGCATCAGTTCGCTCTGTTCTACTTTACGGCTGTGAAACATGGTCATTAAGAGTAGAAGATACTCGTAGGTTACTAGTATTTGACCACAGACGCCTTAGAAATATTGCTCGCATCTGCTGGGATCATCGGGTAAGTAATAATGAGGTTAGATGCAGGGTATTAGGAAATGATGGTAAATCAGTTGATGAGGTGATGAATCTTCATCTATTGAGATGGCTGGGCCACGTGTTACGTATGCCTGAACACCGACTATCACGATGCGCTATGCTAACTAGTATTGGGGATGGTTGGAAGTTTGCAAATAATTTATTAGTTCACTCAAAAGAATGATATTCACGTGTCGATAAATTAGAATCTTAATCATTGAAATATTAACGTAATATAACGTAACGATTCAGCAAACGAAAATACTTAGACTAATCTTTTGAATGGTTTGTACACTAAGACTTGTAAAAACGTAAGAATTGAAAATCTGTATCATAGACATTGAAAAGTTGCTACGTTATATCATTGCATCACAAGAAAAATAGACCATGGGAATAATGTGGTAATATTTGTTTATGAGGGATTGATTTAAAAAGTTTTCAGGTACAGTACATAACAGATGTAGTGATATTTTATATTTCTTATTTTAAATGCAAAATATTGAGACTAAAGAGCAGATAACCCATCGGAATTTCGATAGTCAATTATGAATCTAATATGTCATTAATGTTTTTTTCACGAGTAATAACGCATTTTCACAAACGTATTCCATACAAATAATATATTTTGGAACTGTTCCAAAACCGAGATATAATATATCCATTATTTCGGTAATTCAGATATATCGAATCATTTATATCTAATGAGGACCATTTTTGCCACAAACTGATATAAACCGAAAAGTGATTTAGAAACAAAGATACTTGTTTTCTTCTAGTTTAAAATACTTTAACAGAGAACATCTATGAACCCATGACATGAAGATCTTGCGAACAGTGAGATTCCTTCACAGCACTCAGAATCCAATGATACATATATACATCTGTAGTCCATTCGTGAAGTAGTAAAAACAATTGGTATGTTGGTAACCGTGACACTCTCGATACTGTCAAATTCATGGCCTCGTACTAGAACAATTGTTCAACAATCTCCAGTTTCCCATAACTTGCAGGCCGATGTCAGTTTTCGGAAACTGTACAAAAATCTCAAATGATCATCTCAATAAATTCTACTAATCCTCACATTTAAAAAAATTAAATACGAGATAATCCTTCAAAAAATAGCCTCAAGAAAATGTTTATTTATTATGATTGTAAATTGTTATAAACTCACATTATTATACCTAGTGATACCAAAGTTTTTACCTGAAATATATATTTCATGCATTGAACCTAATCTTCAAGAAAAAATGTGTAATGTCAATACTAATCGATAGAAGTATCGATTTTCTTATCAAAACACAAAGAATGAAATGATATAAAATGTTAATGATAAAGGTGAATATCTATGATTATTATAGCACTATCAAGAATTATTCAACATATAACACCATAAACGCGAATAATTTAATAAATAAATAAATATTTCATTCGAGTAATTTGTTTCATAATAACAACAACAATAATTTTAATGGGTTCGAATTTCGCGAGGCAGGGTCGTGGATGCGCACTGCTGAGAAGTCCCGCTATGGGACGAAACAGCCGTCCAGTGCTTCCAGGTTTTTTACAGTGGCCTAGCTTCAATTGACTCGTGATTTCAAGTATATATAATAATTGTCAATATAATTTCGATTTTTTTCGTTTCATGAATTCTAATAATCAGTCAACATTCTCAGTAAGACAAAAAACATTTTTGCTAGTAATCAAGATATTGAATGAACAACCTAAAAAAAGTAAAATATTCTATCCAATTTAACATTGATGATAGAATGTGACATTACTTTACGACAAGACATAAACACATTTCGATATGGTATATTATGTGATGAACTTCGACAAAAATTCCAGAGAAAAATTAGATAATAATGAAATTGTAAGACACGTTTGATATACATTTATAGTGTAAATTTTTATTCAGTAAATATGTATTTACTGTTTCATAACATTATGTTGAATCATACAAGATGCGTTAATTCACCGAAAATAACAGGTAAATATCGAACGGCAATAAATCTAGGTTCAGGGTTTCATGTTGGACACTAACAAACACCTAACATCTTAACACAGTGCAAGCACTATCGAGTCATTTAAGCTAGTAGCCGAATAGCAAACTTGTCAATAGGATTCTCTTAGCACTAGAGGGCTAGAAAAAAGTCATTATTATTATTAGCTTTATTCAGTATTATATTTTTGGTACAATGCAGAATTCTCAACACGAAGTATTTCAACAAGTTTCCATTTCTTACTTGGTCGATCTTAATGATAAATATTGAGTGATTGTCAGTCATTAGTCCAGTCAATGGATATCTAAATAAAGTACACTCTTCTCGCTGCGTATTGCAAGTAACCACGATAATTCTGATTAGGTTTTTTCGTAATTTGTACAATGAAGGGTTGTATACTTTTCAGAAACGCGATGGGTGTTCGGGCACAGCGACAATTTAATTCACCATCTTGAAACACAGGCTTCGGCATGTACTACAGGTGTCGTCCCATCAAATTCGACATCGTGCATTATTTGCCAGTGCTGGGACTGATAGGATAAAGCGAAGAGGTGGTCAGTGAAAGACATGGTATTGTGGTATGATACAATATGTCAAGTTTGTAACATGGTGAATATCATGAATATTGTGAAAACATTAAGTGTTTTTACCATTTATAACAAAGATCTACTTCTTTCTTTATTACTGTCAAATAGTATGACAAGCTCAAACTAGTCCTATTTTCAATCATCATTTAGCTGTCAACATTGTACAAATGATTTGGTTTTGTGTAGCTTTTTAACTCCAAAAAGAAAGACGATTCAGGTCGACTTCGAATTTCATGAAGATCCTAGCAACTACCTCACATCATCTAGGATAGAAAAATTCGCTTTCCATCATTTGGCCACCATCTTGATTAATCACAATACAACCTTGATCGACAGAAGACAATTAATAAACAAAACCAAGCGTGACACTGTTTACTATCCAATTCTAAAATAAAACTATTATGTAAGACATAAACGCTTCATCCAAGAATGGTCGCTGGTAAATAACTAATCTATATTAAGTTTGTTTACATCAATAAAATTAAGTAAATGAAGTCATATATTTAAGTCTTTTGATATAACATTGTACATATAACCAATTTATTTCTAATAACTTTCAATGGTTAACATTATTCTAATCAGTTTTATTAAATTACAGACTTCGAGAAGTAAATCCAAGAGTTCTAGTGAGAAGCAGTGACCAGTGGAGTTCAAACTCACTAATGACAACTGGTGAACGATTGCTCAATTTCGTGGATCGGTTGGAGTTAGACATAAACACCATCGGATGCCGGCTCAGTGGTCTATCGTTTAAGTGCTCTGGCGCGAGACTGGGAGGTCCTGGGTTCGAATCTTGTGAGGCAAGGCAATGGATGTGTACTGCTGAGGAGTCCTACAATAGGACAAAACGGCTGTCCAATGCTTCCAGGTTCTCCCTGGTGGTCTAGCTTCGATTGACTTACGCTTTCAATTATGAAAACAACTCTAAACAAAAAAATTATTAGTAAATCATAATAATTTACTTCTAACTTATATATTCCCTAAAAATAAATTTGGACAAAAATTGTGCGTCTATTTCATCGAAAGTTAATGTTGCAGTACAAAAAAGAGGGGAGATGAATAAAATAACAGAAAATGATATAACAAGATAAGAAGATATGAATAAACAACACCTTCGTGTTGTTCAAACATTTTTTTCACTTATATATCTGTTTATATCCAGCATATGCAAATGTTATTACCGTGTAAAAGTGAACAACACAATTCCACAAATAGAAACTTGAATGAGAGTAATTAGAAGAAAAAAAAGCTCCAAGACTTAAATGCATTGATGATGATCAATTGATCATTTACATTTACATTATTCTAAATTAATTACATTCAATAACTTAACACGAAATAGAGAGTAAATTCAAAATATATATAATAACATATATAATCAGAAGCCAATAGTGTAAAACAAAGACAATTCTAAAGAATTAGAAAACAGGCGTTAAAAAAAACTACATGTTTTTTTGATCAACCGAGATATACGTAAGATATACACAGGATTACAATAGTTTATTTTGAACATACAGTTATTTTACAAGCACATATGGAGACAATTCAATAAAATTAAGTCCAATAAACACCTAAACGATGGAAGTAAAATATAAAAATTATAAAATGTGAGTACATGAAAGTATGACAAAAAAAATAGGAGACGAAATTAATAACCATTTATTGTAAAGCATTGCTGACATTTTTGTTATCATTAGGATTGAAATTACTGACTAATATCTTGTAGACCATTCACAGACAACTCCATTTAATGTTACATAAGTATTAACGAAAATCCCGATGATTGTTTTCATATGAGAATGAAACAATGCAATCTCCTGCAAAGATAATAAAACATTTCGTACACAAACGAAACTAAACATCAGAATAGGTATTCAAAGTTGATATTAAATTACAATGATATCACTTTACAAAAAACTATCATTATTGCCTATCAGTAGAAAAAGGCAGACTTTTAATAGTTTTATTACTTTGTAATCAAGGAAGTGAAGCTGCTTTATGTGCGTATACTAGACATACATCGATACATGTATTACTACACGGATAATAGACTACATAAAAAGCTGCACAAATATATATACATGTAAATATCGTTTTTTTTTTCTTGAAAAGGAAAAATAAAAACCTACATGCTAAAAATTAATTATGAGGTAACTGGAACTTTTACGGTAGATAAATAAAAAATAGCTCTAAGTTACATAAGCGTAAAAATAATGATAACAATATAAGTACTAGTAATATTGAATAATATAAGAAGAACAATTATGATTAAGGATGATAATCTTTTGGTGCATGGGGTATTAATATTAATATTATCATTTTGTTTAATCGTTTTATATACGAAAAACAAAAGAGGATTTAATGGAGACAAACAAAATCAGTATAATCTAACTACTTAATAGCCAATTTACAATCTAATTCACATTGTATGTGTTATTCCAGTCGTGAACTATGAAACAAAAGAACGGATGGAAAGGAACAAAGATGAGATATCCAAATAAATAATATGCACTTAGTAAAACAAATATGTAAATTTAAAACGAAATAAAAATTTACAAATAGAATATTAAATAATAAAAACCAAAAAAAGTAAACAGTAGGAGGTAGAAATGAAGAGAAAAGATTGCGAAATAAATTAGACCATCACTGAGATAGGTAGGTGAATGTAATACAAGATAGAAATTAAAGTATCTTCATTAAAGAATATCATAATATACAAATTAAAAACATTAAGATTGTAGACGAAAGCGAGCAAAATCTTCAAATAATAAGTCATCTTCACTTAAGGTAGACTGTGTACCAACAGTAGATGGTCGTCGAGCTGATGGTCGCAAACCGGAGAAAAGCAAATGAAAATTACGATCCCATACAGGTGGTGAATATGAACAAACAGCTTTGTTTACAAATTGTGGTGACTGAGTTGAATCACTATAGAAAAAAAGTTACAAATGAACACTAGACTAATAAATGTAAGCTGGATTATTAAAATAAATTTTTATTGCTATAATAATATGATGTAATGTATCCCCTTAGGTCCCCGAAATCCTTGGTACGGTCGAGGGTGGGTAGAGTCAGCTGTTCCTCTCAAAGTGTTCTCACATGTCCATGCGTTTACAACCACTGTCAGGGAAGTCCTACCCATTGCTTTCGAGGGTGGGGGTGTTGCATAGGAAATTGGGAGGACGAAAAGCGAATTTCCAGCCCCTTAACTGGGTTGGCTGACATGGAGGATCCACCTACGGGAGTCGAAAAACCCTATTTACAAACCAATCTTCTACACGAGGGAACAAATGGTTTATAAACCTAATGTTGGTCACCGGCTACCACAAGATTGCGCGTCCTAACGTTGTTCCGCTGTCTTACAGATTAGAGCTTTAGGTCAAAGAAAATCACTTGCTTCGGTTTGGGTGTGTGAGTAGTATTCCATCCCTTATACAAATCGAGTGATGAAGTGCGGTGCATACATATTTACTGCCTTCTTGTACTAATGTTTATGTGTTTAAATAAAATAAAAAAACTTCTTTAACAAGTAGAATTTTATGTATTCGGCCTTGCGTAAAACTGTTCATTTGAAGATTAATTGCGCTGATCACCTGCTTAAAACAAAACAGATGTCAAAGAGTTCATAACTTTGACTAATTATGGATGGAATTTGAGTACTTTAAACCCTAATCCACTGTACTGTAAACAATACATAAATAAGAGGGAATGATCAGAAACTGGAAAACTGGAAGTAATCACATAGTCAATGAAAATTATCTACAAATGGAATTGATAATAATCTTGAGATATTAATAATTAACTAAAAATGACTTTGTAGATAATCACATTCGATTTTAGTAACCTAAAGAAAGCGCTAAAATATCTAAAGGTTATTGGTTTGATTGGGTACACGGAACAAGTTCCAAACTCAAACGATACAGCTATATCTGGTTCCAACTAGTTTTTAAACAATCTGTAGTATAAACTTCTTAAAATGTACAAATCCCCACAAACCACTTATTCTAATGTCCAGTAACTTGTTGATGCATAACTTGTAAACACGAACTGGGTACAAAAAAAGTTAAAATACCAGAAGCATATGTGAAATAAATTAACGCTATCCAATATGGAATCTGTCTGACACTAATCAACTAATGGAGCAGATGGTGTATCACAATGTTAATTTATGTAACTTATTGACGGATAAAGTTTTATTTCTTTTACTGCATTACAGCCACAATGGATAAAAACAATGAAACAAAACACGTACCAACTGAACAATATTACTATCAAATAAATGAAAATTTTTAATATTCATCAAGTCAACTTGTAAAACAATTCACCACCTTAAGCTAATTGAAATAACCTAGATCTGTTTACTCAACAGATGATTACGTAAACTAGACTCAAAGTAGACATTATTAACAGTTAGCATTAGGATACTTTTCACTACAAATTCAAAGCAAGATTAAGGTCGAAAGTTAAATAAGGTATGATAAATACGTTGTTATAGCCCTAAGAAAACCCACCTGTAGGCCCCCCGGGAGCTACTGCCGGTCCCAAGACCGGATAAAGAAGGAGGTTTAGGCATGAGGTTAGCCACTCCATCCCGTAGGAAACTAACTCGCTAGTAAAACACTAACCAGAAAAATAACTCAAACCATTTAAACTCTGTCCTGAGGGTTAAAAGGTCTTCATTTGGAAGAGTTACGATGCCTCATTATGAAAGCTGAGTTCCTTCGGAATCCACCAAGCTGATGACCCTTCTAACAACCAGATCAACCATTAATTAAGGTACACGGAATGCTCGTACAATGTAGGAGATCGGGAGTCATCCAAGTTGCTGCAGAAATGAGGAGATACAACCTGGACGTGTTTCGAATCAGTGAAACACATTGGACGCAGGTTAGACAACATGGACTAGCTTCAGGCGAGCTGCTGTTATACTCTGGCCGTGAAGAAGAGAATGCTTCACATACACAATGAGTTGCACTGGTGCTATCCAAACAAGCACAAAAAGCACTTGTAGGACGGACATCTCATTGACCCAGGATCATCAAAGCCACCTTCGAAACAAAGAAAGAGGGCATTACAATGAACGTCATCCAATGCTATGCGCCTATCAACGAATACAATGAAGACGTTGAAAATCAATTCTACAATAGGCTGCAGTCAATCTTCGAGAAATGTCCAACAAAGGACTTGACCATTCTGATGGGATAGCTAAATACCAAGGTTGGAATGGACAACACCGCAAATGAAGACATCATGGAACAACATGGACTGACTGGGAGAAAGGAACGAAAATGTTGAGAGATTTGTAAACCTTTATGCCTTCAACAAACTGGTCATAGACAGCACCAACCAAATCGACCATATCTGCATCAATAAAATATTCAGGAGCATGATTTAAGACGTGAGAACCATAAGAGGAGCAGATATAGCCTCAGACCATCACTTGCTGGTCATCAAGATGAAATAGCAACTCAAGAAGCACTGGACAACGGGGTGGACAACATCACAAAAGTTTAATACTCACGTCAACATCTGGGGGAAGCATGGGATGCAATCGACAGCTAGGATGCAGCTGCATGATCTACACTTCATAGATGATCTGACTCTTTGATCACACACGCAACAACAAATGCAGGTGATGATCAGTGTAGCAGCAGCTTCAACAGCAGTAGGTCTCAACATACACAAAGGGAAAATTATGATTCTTCAATACAATACAACATGCACCAATCGTATCACACTTGACGGAAAAGCTTTGGAGAATGTCAAAACCTTTACATATCTGGGCATTATCATTGACGAAGACGGTGGATCTGATGCAGATGTGAAGGCACAAATCGGCAAAGCAAGAGCAACATATCTACAATTGAAGAACATCTGGAACTCAAAACAATTATAACCAAATACCAAAGTCAGAATTTTCAATACAAATGTCAAGACAGTTCTACTCTATGGGGCGGAGATGTGGAGAACTACGAAAGCCGTCATCCAGAAGATACAGTTGTTTATTAACAGTTGTTCACGCAAAATACTTTGGATCCGTTGACCAGACACTATCAGCAACAACCTACTATGAGAGAGTACAAATCCGATTCCAGTGGAGGAAGAAACCAGGAAGGAGCGTTGCAAGTAAGTAAGTAAGTAATAGTCCTAAGAGATATGAAATTAAAGACTACTTTCTTAGATCACGGAGATCTGTAGTTTAGGTGAATGAAGGCTTCATCAATTGGACTAGTGAGCTCCAAGAATGGAAATGAACTAAAATTATTACTTTTTTATTCTAATCATAACAATAATGAGTGAATAGAGTAAAGGGGGATCCTAATTAACTTAGTAATGCACACATAAAAAACCCTGAAATATCAAATATGATTATTGTCAATTCATGTTTTAGAATGCTAAAAACGAAAATAATTACTTAGTAAAAGCTTCCTTTATACGAAGATTCGCATCACAATGTTTAGGATCGTTGGAATAATTTTGTTGAGAAACCAGGGAAATTGGTTGAATTTGTGGAACAGTAGTATTTTGTAAACTTAGTGGAGTTATGTTCATAACGGCATTTGATTGTCTTATTTCCGATGTGCCTGAATTAATTTTAACATTCCCTAAATTTGTTGAATTTCCTTTATTTGACGTTTTTTCAGTTAATGATGGTTCACTTGTGATCGATGAAATAAGTTCATCATCTTGTCGATCGCCATTCATGTTAGAGGAATCTGGATTCGGATGTGTTAAAATAAATGGCAGCTCCAAACAAACATCGCTGGAAAAACATAAAACAGATATGATATTAGTTTAAACTAAGTGACTGAAACCTAGAGCAAACTTATTAGAATTCAGGAGACTCAATACGATGGTTGGAGACTCTAGGTGACATGGCTCAGAATCGATCACAATGGCGTAGGTGTATACACTCTTTATCTTCCCTTAAACCTTGAGATTAAAATTGCTTCATAACTTGTTTCCTTCCTATACTATATCCTTATATACAACCTTTCTTTATATACTACCACCACCACTAAATTAATTACTTCTATGAATCCGGTGTTCATCTTGTTGTGCTAACGAGGTATGGCAACCTGGACTGATGCATAAATGTGCCTGGTCCTACGTTGTAGCTGAATGACTGAATACGAGCACGTGAATTAGTAACGTACTCGTTTTTCAATGTTTATTGTGTGCAGTATCAAGTAACTCCAGACTTTTTTTTCTGTTCATTTAGTGCATGGGTGCTGTATGTAAGACACTGAGGATTTCATTTGAAGCTCTAACTTTTACATAACTTGTTTTCTACATTCGACAGGTTGAAATCTGTTACGATGTACTGTGTTCACAAAAGACATAACTACATAGATTTAGATGATTGGAGTGAAATCCTCAGTGAAAACTATCATCTTACGTGCACCAGTTACTCACGAAATGAAAGGAAAAAAGGTTGAAAATGTTAATGTATCTTTATTGGACACTGAAAAAGGGAAAGTTAATCTGACACAAATTCTGATTTATGTTTTACGTTAGCAACGTTTCTTTCTACAGAATGGGGTTGCTAACGCCAGTACTAAAACCCCTCGTTTATCCGGACTCGAGATTGAGAGTAACCCTAGCAAAGCTCCAGGCAATATTTCTTTCAGTAATTATTCTAGAGTTAATAAAATCCATTACTAATGCCAAAGTAATAATTGTTTCCTGATTGTGATTATCAAAACAGATAAATTAACTCGATTGTAAGCAATACAGCGACATGAAGTTGACGAAACAGGCAATATTGAGAAAATTAACAGCTCAATAAGTAGTACTATTCAGATCACATATTCTAAGGGTTTAAAATGATTGAATTAATCAATTTAGTCATCATTAAACTAATGGAATATTAGTTGAGAAATAAGTTAAGAAAAATATTAGTTTATAATTTTTAAAGCAGTTGTTAATGAACTGTAAGTAAAGTATTAAGTAAATCTTTTTTTTAAAAATGAAAGTGATTCATGAAATGTACACTTAAATGTACTTTCACAAATCCAAACACCATGGATATATATAGTAAGAAAATAAACAGTAGTAACTTGAACTATCAAGATAAAAGTTAATTTAAAAGTACATTCTGGTGAGAAGTATGAGATTTTACAACTGAATTTTAAAAATGTAAACTAGAAAAAGATGTAGTTGAACAGTCTTGAATCACTCGTAAAGTGTTTTGTAACCATAATTAGTAAAGTATATTGGAAAAATGAAAATAATGGCTTAAAGGTCTGAAAACTTTCTTTGAAGGGCAATTATAGAACATTTTATAACATATGAAGTTAATAAAATCAGAAATCAGCAATCACTCACGAAATTGATTAAACATAATATGAAAACTACAACCTTCTGTATTCCAACTTAGTGACTTTTTTAGAAGGAAGTTCAATGAGTGTATAGATACTACTGTGCTGATTATGCTACCACCAAATTAATGTGACCATATCAAGTAAGGAGCAAAGGGTAACATTGATGCCAGATGAAGGGCTTATAGCACTAACAACATTCCAGTTCGAAAAAGAATAGATTGTAATTAAATTGGATAATAAAACTGATTGATTAGGTGTTTAAACTACCTAAATAGTTGACATAGTGAATTAATTTGAACTAGGCTAATTCACACAACGCAGACGTTATAATTTTGCAGAACAAAAATAAATACATTATTACGTGGGAATACACTCACCTAATGCCAAATCCAAGAACTAATCGTATTTTCACTTTGTACTGTACAATAATCCCAACTAATTCTCGATTAGTTGAACAAGGAGGAGCACTGATAAGAAAAAGTAGTAGACAAAAATGAGACTTTGTGAGCGACATGTATAAAGGGTTAAAGTGAGTTGTTACAATACAGTTTCATTTGTAAAACTTTACCAAAGAAATAACAAACATTAGTGTAGTAAAAAAATTGAAGTAACTAACAACGAGACAACTTTTAAAATGCTGGGTAGATTTTACAATTAACTGGAATGAATTGATAAGATGTCCTTGCTATCCGAGTACTTTAAACAAATATCAAGCTATCACAGACAAATTGACTATGTTTAAAAATTAAATGCCAGTTTGGAATTTATTATTTCATGTTTTTATTAAAATGAAATAACATGCTGTATGATTTTATTACTCATACATAGACACCCAAATTAAAGCGTTAGAAAATATTGAGCTTGATGGAAACATTTATTACTGAAGTTAAGAAACATGAATTGCATCCCGAGCACAGATATGCAATCACAATACTTGAAATCATACCACCTTTCCACGGGTTATCAGATAATAAAGTTTGTTTAATGTAGTTTGTAATTTTGAAATTTTTCAATTGACGACTTCGGTTTATGAACTTATGTCACTACTAAAAGCTTTCTGAAAATAATTAAGAATCTGGCAATTCATATTTTGTGATTCTGTTGAGATACGTTAGTGTATCTTAACCTATAGTCATTTGAGATTATTCATTACTATCGTGAAGACAAAACGGAATAAGCTAGAGTAATAAGGAAATTAGTGAATCCAAATATCAACAGTAAAAAATCACTGGTACAATGGTGACTTCAGATTTCTTTCATGTTTATTTACAAAAATTAAGTAAAAGTGAGTTCGAAAGGGAAAACATCATGTCTATGAATTGGGATGAACATATAGTTTAGTCAAGAGATGGAATTTCAACTATAATTAATAACTGAAAATCAAAACTGTTGTCCTGATAAGAATAGTGAATGGTAACTTTGGGATCCGTTTATGGACGAATATTACGAGTATATTTTTTATCGTATAATTGTTAAATAACTAAACTATCCATATCCATGTATCTCTTATTGTAAGCTTATTTCGACTCATAGACTATAATTATACGATTTGCCGTTCTTGAGTTATCCCCAGTCTATTAATTACTATCTCCCTTATTCACAGACACATTTAGCTAAATCTTGTACAAATGTTATTTTCTAATTAAGGGTATGATGTGGTCTGTTTGATCAGTATATAAACCCAGTATGCTTGAAATAAATGATTCATACTGCAGAAGCTGTTATCGGTGTTCCAGAATTAAGTGGATGGGCTAGGCAGAAAGTAGGACCGACAAGGACTCTAGACTGCTCGTATGGGTTTTATGTCATTGGTCCGATCGATAAATCACTGCTCTCTAATTGGCGGTATCGTCACGTCATACATGAATAAGGCACGCAGGCTCACAAGATATAACAAGCACTATATTAATTACAAAATAAAATCAATGAAACCTCAAAGAATAATTCGCTTCATCAGACTGAATAACCATTGACGTAATTAACATTAGTCTCTTTGATAAATTTCGATAATGTAATCAGAAGACGAAGATTATCAGAACTATGTGATATATTAGTGCAATACATTTCGAACAATCTGATCACACATATACTTGTTAAGAACATTTATATATAAAAATAAAAGGTCAACTAGACTGGGAATTGGGGGGGTTAGAGGAGACAAGGATAATAATAATAAAATAATGTGAAAACAATTGAAGCTAGACCACCATGGAAAACCTGGAAGCATTGGACGGCCGTTTCGTCCTATTGTGGGACTCCTCAGTAGCTTCAATTGATTCATGATCTCAACTATTAAAATTACTATAATATCCATAAACCCCCTTCTGATGTTAGTATGAAAACAATTTTAAACCTAATCATTCTGGATAATAAGCTAATTTTACCAGAGTAGGTTTAAGGTGAGAACAAACTGTTTTTGAATACACAAAGGGGGTTTGAATTTTCGTACGGCTAAGGCTTCAATAAACCTTAGTATACGCCCTTTTACATTTTTGTAAAACACCACAAAAACAGTGTTGAGATCAATCTTATGGCGTGTTTTGATTATATGTTAGCAAAAACATCCATCATCCTCTATTGCCAAACATAGAATTGAGACAGGCCATAAAATTTATCTCAACACTGTTTTTGTGGTGTTTTACAAAAATGTAAAAGGGCGTATACTAAGGTTTATTGAAGCCTTAGCCGTACGAAAATTCAAACCCCCTTTGTGTAAGCAAAAACAGTTTGTTCTCACCTTAAACCTACTCTGGTAAAACTAGCTTATTATCCAGAATGATTAGGTTTCAAATTGTTTTCACATTATCTTTGATCATAAAGCTTGTGACTTCAGGCAATATCGAGGCGGTCGGCACAGGATGCACGTATTCCAACAAAAGACTGATCAATTGCAGTCCTAAATAACAATCGGAAGATACAAGTAAACTACACCAAGTGAATTTATTTTATTATTATTATCCTTGTCTCCTCTTACCCCCCCCCAATTCCCAGTCTAGTTGACCTTTTATTTTTATATATAAATGTTCTTAACAAGTATATGTGTGATCAGATTTTTCGAAATGTATTGCACTAATATATCACATAGTTCTGATAATCTTCGTCTTCTCACTACACTATCGCAATTTACATTAGTCTTTACATCAATTGCGCATTAAAAATATACCATTCTAAGGTATTTATATCCCTATAAGTTGAAATCCACATCAAGGGGATTAACTGCACAGTCCAGAAATAGCAAAATATTTTGAAAAATAAATATTTAAAGAAGAGAATCTTATGGGCCAACAAAGCTAGAAACAAAGGTATTAAAGTCTAAGCTACGAAACAATTACATTTTCTATAATAATAGTCTTCCTGTTATCGATGACATTAGTGATACTTCAGCAATGTTGTCCATATCCAAACACTATTTGATATACGAACATGATCCATAACTAATTTTTGAAGATGATAAATTTATTTAACCAGACTGACAGCTGAAACATATTCAATACTTTTCTACCACAAATCTGTAGTCTCTAACACTAAACAAAATTTTCTTCATAAAATTAAAATTAAAGTTTCCAAAAAATCAATTAAATTTACATTGTAGAAGATGCTAGATTAGTATCTTCTTGTTTTAAATCCCCATCCATTGCAACACCAGTTTTGTCTCGATTATAGGCTAACGTTGGACACAGTTGATAAACTTTGCACCAGCCAGTTTGACTAGGGAGAATAGGAAAGCGTTCTCTAAAAAAACATTCCCAAACATAAAAGATAGTAATTAGAAACATGCATAAGAGAATTAAACAAACATACAAAAAGTTAGTTTTCTTTGTACAAGACTTATTTAATCAATGTGACTTTAAAATAAGCATTGTAGCTGATCGTGCAACGCGCACACTTTAATCCTTCAAAAAACTCTTGTTTGTTTTATTAGATATTTAAAAATGTTGCAGTTCAGCTATATGGCCAGTGAATAATAACTATCAATTGAACAATACAAAATTTCAGATTCATTTTCCGTTAATTACAACAAGCTTACCAATCGATGAAACACAAGCGGAAATTTAGGTTGAAGAAGCAAAAAGTTAATAACTGGCAATGAATTTCAGGTAAACATTTACCCAAGCAAAACGAACAAACAAAATTACTATGTTATAAAAATTTTGCGTAAACACTTATTTGTATTGAAAAATCATAAAGATTCATTAATCACACAACGTATCTAATAAGAAAACATGATTTTCTTCTCATAGCATCTAACAGAAATTTTATATAAATGGAATAAATGCCTTAAAATTTACCGATATAATCTAAGGTATATTAGTTAAACTATTGGAATTATGTACATCATTAAAGATTGAAGCAAAAAGCTTTATTTTGATTGTACAGTAAGAATCCGAGTTCAGAAACAATACGACAATTGACATAGGACACTTCAAGTAATTCAGCCAGATAAAAATAAGAAATGTCAATGCTCGATTTAACAACCAAGATTCTGTTTGTTTGAATTAATAGTCAGAGATGAATTATGAAGATTGATTAACCATTTTCTTCAGCTTGCCGTGTATGATTTCCCAGAAAAAAAGTGAATTTCAGAACATTTTTGTGTATGTTAGTAGTATAGATTATCAGTCAGTCAGTCAGCGACAACGTGGGACCAGGCACATTTATGCATCGGTCCAAGTTGCTATACCTCGTTAGCACAACAAGATGAACACCGGATTCATAGAAGTAATTAATGTAGTGGTGGTAGTAGTATATAAAGAAAGGTTGTATATAAGGATATAGTATAGGAAGGAAACAAGTTATGAAGCAATTTTAATCTCAAGGTTTAAGGGAAGATAAAGAGTGTATACACCTACGCCATTGTGATCGATTCTGAGCCATGTCACCTAGAGTCTCCAACCATTGGTTACGATAGTCACGCGGACCCCAACCAGGTAGTCTGCATCTACCAACATGGCTCAGACTAGAAAATTAGTGACTCAAGCACTGATGCCACATTTTGTTTTGGCCGCCCCTAACTCTCTTCCAACAATCCCCTACACTGGTCAACATTGCGCGTCGTGGTAGTCGGTGTTCAGGCATACGTAACACGTGGCCCAGCCATCTCAATAGATGAAGATTCATCACCTCATCAACTGATTTACCATCATTTCCTAATACCCTGCGTCTAACCTCATTATTACTTACCCGATGATCCCAGCAGATGCGAGCAATATTTCTAAGGCATCTGTGGTCAAATACTAGTAACCTACGAGTATCTTCTACTCTTAATGACCATGTTTCACAGCCGTAAAGTAGAACAGAGTGAACTGATGCGCAGTATACTCGTCCCTTAATTGATAGACGGATATCTCATCTTCGCCATAGGTGACGTAAGTTAGCAAAGGCCAAACGAGCTTTCCGAATCCGTGCTGAGATTTCGTCAGACACCAACCCATTAGGGCTGATCAGACTTCCAAGATAAGGGATGTTGTCGACGCGTTCGACTACTTCGCTCCCTATCCTTAGTACAGGTGTTGACGCAGGCCAGTCCTGGAGTAACAATTTACATTTGGATGGGGAGAAACGCATCCCAAACATCCTGGCATTATTACTCAGTTCTAACAGAAGACTCTGCATTTTGTCAGCGTCTTCACCAAACAGGACTATGTCATCTGCGTATTCTAAGTCGATAAGTGAACCTCCTGGTAAAAGATCAATTCCTGAAAATTCAGTCGACGAGTGTTTTTCCTAGCAACAGGTCTATAATAAAGTTAAACAAAAATGGGGATAGTGGACAGCCTTGACGGACACCACTTGAGGTTGTAAAATCATATGAAAGTTCGCCATAAGCTCTCACTCGACTGGTAGTGTTCGAGTAAAGAGCCTTCATAAGGTTTATGTACTTCTCAGGTACACTTTTTAATGACAGACACTGCCACAGAACCTCTCGGTCTACAGAGTTAAGTGTTGCTTTCAAGTCAAGAAAAACTATCATTGTCGGACGCCAATAAGCATGTCTGTGCTCTAAAACTTGACGAATGGTGAATATTTGGTCGATACATCCACGACCAGGTCTGAAGCCAGTCTAATTTTCTCGTGTTTGCAGTTCACGAGTCTTAGTTAGGCGCCCGATATTGGGACAATCAGAGATTGTGACCAGTCAGATATAATAATAGAGTGTGACTCGTTCACAAAATATAGATTGATGTAATTAACTATCAGTCAACGCTCATCTCGAATATTTTTACGAGAACGTATTCACAAATGTACATATTTACTTGAAAAATATAGTGAACGAATCAAAAACCTAGATGATCTACTGAAGCTTTTAATTCCTACAGATTTACAAACCGCGATTTCTAACCTGTTTATTGAAAGAGAACGCTATTATCTAGATTCATCAAAACGCCGGCAAATTAAAAAATTCGAAAAGATCAAAGACAGGAAGAAAGATAAGAAAACGTCTGCAATAAAATCTAATCCGAATGATCTAAGAATTGTTCATAATTTGTCTGACAGAAACTTAACGAATCATGAAGTCACCCTACTGGAGAAAGGATTAAATTTCAATTTACATAGAAAACCACTCAGTACTCTTGAAGTTGCTCCAATTATAGAGCCAATAATCGCACAACTACCAGAAAAAGAATCGCATTTATTACGTCAAAAGACGTCCCACATCTTGACCAAACAAAAACGCCTCACACCAAACATCTCAAAAGAATACAAGGCCCTGCTTTCGCTTAAAAAGGACAAAACAATCATAATCACAAAAGCAGACAAAGGCAACACAACAGTAGTCATGAATAGAACAGACTACATTAATAAAGCTCTTGAACATCTTGCAACAGGACCATATGAAAGGATCAATGCATTAAATTCTCAAACGATTAAAAATAACGTCAAATCGGATACAAGTGAACTTTTGAAAGAGCTAAAACCAGTCATTGGAGCTTCGCTTTGGTTTGCTCTGTATCCCAAATCATGTAATACTTCACGATTTTATGGTTTACCGAAAATTCATAAACCAAATATTCCTCTAAGACCGATAGTAGACTTTATCAACACACCGACTTATGCTTTATCTAAATATCTGAGCAGCATATTAAAGCCACTACAGTTCGACATATATAATATGATTAAAGATACATATGAATTTAAATCAAAATTATCGGAATTAATCATCGAGAAGAATGAAGTCATGGTAAGCTTTGATGTCGTATCTTTATATAATAGTATTCCGATTGATAACTGCTTAGAATTTATTAGTGGCTTACTAGAAAATGACACTACTTTGTCGGACAGATGTCCGTTAAGCAGTAGTTTAATCATAAGATCGTTAAAACTTTGTTTAAATTCAACTCTATTCACCTTCAACGGAACGCTATACAGACAAACAAATGGTGTAGCGATGGGTTCCCCTGTCCCCGATTGTTGCCAACCTTTTCATGACACACATAGAATCAAAAATTTTCACCAACAACATTAAACCACGAATTTGGCTTAGATATGTAGATGACACATTTGTAGTGATAAAAAAAACGCATCTAAGATCATTTTCAAAACAGATAAATACACTTTCATCTCATATCAAATTCACGAATGAAAATGAAAATGGACATGGTGAGCTTCCGTTCTTAGATTGTTTAGTGAAAAAGAAATATAAATGGAGTTCTAAATGTATCCATCTACCGAAAGCCTACACACTCTAATCGTTACATCGACTTCCATTCAGCACATCCTTTCAGTGCTAAAATTTCGTTAGCCTTAAATCTTTTTAGAAGAGCCAATAAAATCATCACTTCAGAAGAGGATAAACTAAAAGAACAAAAGAATATAATTAGCATCTTACAATTTAATAATTTTCCGATGAAGATTATCAGAAGCTTATTAAAACAAGACAATTCAGCACGTAATAATAACAATAATTCAAATGAAATGCCATGGATTGGTACTGCAGTTTCACCATACCGTCATGGCACAACTGAAGAACTCCAAAGAATCTTAAAACAACACAGAATTAAAGTATATTACAAAACAACGAACACTCTTCGAAATACTTTAGTTCGACTAAAAGAAAATATACCATTCATGTCTACACAGAACTGCGTCTACAAATTAGGTTGTGTCGACTGTGATGCCTTCTATATTGGAGAGTCATTTCGCGAAATCATGACTCGCACCAAAGAACATATTAGGTACACAAAGAAACCTCCTAATAATCCTGTAGAACTAGATAGACTTCAAATTAAATCGGCATTAGCGGTTCATGCCATTTTCAATAATCATCAAATTGATTTCAAAAACATCAAAATACTACAGAAAGGTTTTTCCAATCACAAAGAAAGAAGAGTAGCGGAAGCTTTCCATATAATGCTTAATCCCACTGCCCTCAATAGAAAAGAAGGCCTTACCATACATCCCACTTGGACTATCTGTCCTAGTCAACCAGTCTAATATTATTTACAATCTCACACCATTACATTACAAATTAAACTCTATCCTTTGTCATTACAAAGGTCACACATTTTTCGTCATTAACAATGCATACATACACACAAAATTACATACATATCCCTTATGAATCACTTTGAACGAAATGAAATGACATTGATCTATTCAGACCTGTTTTTTGATTGATCACCTAATATTCTTGGATTGTTCCGTTGTACTATTTAAACTTGGATTAATGTTAATTTGGTTATTTATTCTCTGAAGAAGTGGCTTACACTAAGTCACGAAACGTCAGAAAATCTAATTTTTCTACTCATTGGGATATTACAAATATATTAATTTATTTATCAGTCACACCGTTTCTGTTGAAAATTACTGATAATTTTTAGTTTCACAAAATGAATTATCACGCTTAGTGTTGAAACCAAGCAACTTTCAAGTAATAAGGTTTGAGGTTGGGAAATTCTGTTTCAGGTGCATCGATTAAAGCAGGTAAGAAATAACAAATTGTTTAACTCGATACCGAGTACGCAAATCTGTACACCGGAATGTTTTAGTCACTAAGTTATCATTCCGAAAAAAGTACCTCAAATAATGACTAGAAAATAACTAAGTAAATATTAATTTAGCTCTTCTTTTTTTCAGATCTATAGGAGAAATGTCAATATTAAATAGCAAGTAAATCTATCTGTGCATCTAATTTATTGGATAACATTCTAAAAAAATCTCACATAAGTTATAAAGTAATTACAGTAAACAATTTACAACCCCTGTGTTCCATTCAAATAAAAAAGCTTCAAGAAATCTTTGTTTTCCACTTGATTAATAAACCAATAGTTAAATTTTTTACGACGCAATGAACAATTACGTAATTGTTTCATTCATTTCTATTACCAAATTATGCCCATTAACCCGTTAGTAGTCGTATACGTTAAATTTTGATGATCATTAAATTATATATAAATCCGTTGAATTAATACAGACAGGTATGTCGATGATATATTCATGATCAAATAATTAATCAACACTGAGACTGCCTAAACATTAATCAATCCATTGAATTTCATTTTATATATTTATATCATATAGGAAGTCATTTCTAGCTTGATGAAGTATTTTAATTTCGATCAGATCAACATCCAATATTTCTTTGAATAGACATAGTTGTTCGCGTAATTTAATGATCATCAAAATTTAACGTATACTAGCAAGCTAACAGTTAAAAGAGACTATTGTTTACATATAATTATACGAATACAAATAAAACGGATCTCAAAATTCTTACTGAGTAATTAAGAAATTCCTTGTTGGATTTACTTCAAAAGTACAGTTCAGTAATGAACTGCATGGACAGATAGACAAGATATCACTCATGTGCTTGTTCATTTTGTTAAAATCTGATGTCTTTAAAACCAATGTCGAGAATAACCGTCATAAAGATCAATAATAAACTGGCTTTATACAATAAGGTATAAAGATTACTAAAAGAAACATAAAATGTGAAACTAAGCTACTTATCGATAAGCAGGTTTATAGACATTGTGTTACTATATGATTGTAAAATATGACGATTAAAGACAAAAGATTCGTCTAGATCACGATTATTTCACCAATATTTGAAATAACCGTTGAAGTTAAATAAGTAAAAAAGGCATATTGGTAATGAAGTAAATTGATCAAATAAGTTGACCATTTACCGTAAAAATCATATTTAGCCAGAAATAAAGCTAAAGATTAAAAACTGAGAAGCTCAAAGAGAGATAATGGAATAAAGCAACCATCCATTTGAAACTGGTCATATAAATATGAAGCTGAACATACTTATGAAGTGATTATTTCATAGATTTTTTGCTGTTTATCGTCTACTAAAAATGTAGATTAAAGAATTCTTTCAAAAAAGTGTAATTATACACAAGCGCTTACATCTAAATGACTACAAATTTTGATAACATTCACACCGACGAAACACAATAAATAAATTGTGTAAAACAATAAGACCATAATCGAAATTCAAGTATGTCGAGAAACGTATAACAACTAATGGCAAACGGATTGAAAATACCAATTCCAAGAAAAATGAAAATGAAAACTATCTTTGGACGTGGAATTTTAAATAATGACTGAGGTTCAGAATAGATATATACACATATAAAAAGCAAAACAAAGTACACAGACCCTCGGCAATAAAATATTTTAAAAAATATACAAAACCTTAAATACTAAGATAAGTTAAAATAACTTATGTTACAGTTTAAGGGTAGAAAACAAGTTAATTAGCCAAACTACTCACTCCGACTGAATCTCATCAACCGAGCATTTGAAATGAATGGGACTTTGCACATAAATTTGAGTATACTGTCGAACTGTGAAGAGAAAAAAAAATGGAGAAAAAGAAAAACACTCATTTCTTTTGTGTTTCGAACATGTGTATGAATTCTAGTGTGTATAAATTTTGAAATATAATAACAAAATTTCTTTCGGATTAGCTTAGGCAAATATCTCTACTGTTTTTACTAGTGTTATGTTTTGTATTTGGTAGACTAACCATTCGCGAAATTGCAAAATTTGATTATTCATGCCGAACAATTTATACGGCAGTCAACTAATCAGACTATCATAAACATTATTGCATCTGGTAAGAACACGTACTTGTTTAAGTTATCACAATTCAAACCAACACAATGAGTGAAGAAAGTCATAAGATGATACATGGAGGAAGGAAAATAATATTAAATGTGACAAGAAGCCAAATGAGAAATACAGTTTAAAATAAATGAATAAAAAGTACGAGGTGATGTTGAGTTTAAAATTAAGAAGTAGATAGAGAATAAAAACAGTTGTAACCGAACATGTTATTTAATGTCTGTAATCATTAAGAATTACGGTCATACTCCTCAGATGCCAACTTACAAGGTTGGAACATAAAAACACGATCCGATTTAGCAGACCATGAATTCATATACCAAAACATTATGCAAGTTTTAAGAATGATTGATTAGTAGAAACTAGTTTCTGAACTACTTTTAACTACACTCGATTTCAACTACTTATCAACCACTGAACTTAGAATAAAGATTAAAGTGAGAATTTTGGATATAAAAAAGTAAAATAATGAACATAAATATATAAATTTATGATATGATTTATTGTAATTCACATATGAAATGAGAAATCACATGTTATCTTTTTGTAAAATCAAATATACTTAAATGGTTATATTTTCTTAAATATAGAGAAATCACTCGACTAGCATTAGTAAGTTACCAAATTATCTACAAAATAAATGGCTTTTTATCAACATATTATAAACACTGCTAAATTTGGATGAAAATAAATTAGATATTTAATAGATAAGTGTTACAAACTGCAGAATAAGCCTAATGAAGAGATGTTACTAAACAAATGGAAGTCTAAATCTACCGTCATAGTTGTTATCGTAATTACTATTTCCCAATCTTCCTATCTACAAAGGTAACCAACATATCTGTAAAGAAAATTTGAAAAATATTAGCTTACACCATAACACCTCCAAATGTACTCTGAGAACTTTGGTCAGTCGATCGATATACAACCACACTGTTGTTACCAAACAATTGTAGTGATATTATATAGGTGAAGTTGGCAACAACTTGGAAAAATAATATTCTTTTTAAAAAATGAACTACTAAGCAGTTCGAATTCCAAATATTCATGTAAAATTTCTGGATAAATTATCTAACTTAAATACTGTTTACATAATGAGAAATTATAATACTTTATGATGTTAATACTCAATTGACAATACAAGTAATCATAGATAACATGTTGGCAAAACAGTAATTCATTCAATAGAATGAATATAGACGAACAAATTGAAGATATTTACATAGAAATAGTAATAATAAACTAAGAATGAAAATAAAAGATACTACTTTAGTTAATTAAGTACACCAAATTAACTAAAAAACATGTCCTTATTTTACAAAAAGAAATCTATTATTGTGAATTACAAACCTAGACTGATCGAAATAACAAAATCCTTGATTTGAGGAAGAAAAGTACAGTTGATTCGAAAACAACATAGAACAGTGACAGGTTTACACGAATAATTATATAGGCTAATTACGTAAAATTTTGTCAATATTTACCATTATTATTATTATTCGTGGTAACAGTACTATTTTCAAAATTTACTAACCTGATAGTTTAACACGTTTAATTGTTTTATTCGAATTGTTATCCACAAGTAAATTGACAAAAATTTTCTCTCCATGGAAATATTTCTAAATACAATGAATAAATAATAACAATAAAATTATAGATGGACAGGATGATATATTCTGTTGATAAACTTTGAAGAAATGAAGTGGAAAAAACAGCAAACTATCAGTCGATTAACATACGGAAAGAAAGAACAAATAGACTAATTTGTAAATGAATTCGATTAACACAAAACGAACAAGTAGGGAATACTAGAAAGACTAGAATGAATCATCTGAGATGAGAATATTTACATACACTGATTTATGTATACATAAGTATAACAACTTTACTTAAAATGTCGCTTAAACATGAACACAATAAATTGTAATCAGGCGCACAATTAAATAAGCTAGAGAAAGATCTACACGATAATCGTTATCTGTGAAGGTTCGTCATGAAATACACGAAAATAAGAGTCAGGGAATGAACGTGAAACAGAGTGTATCTTCTAATAACTTGTCTTTAACTGTCATGAGATTTTTGAGATGAATATAAAACTAAGATATAAACTGAAAACTACCTATCAACCTCCCAAAATAGTTAATTTATGCTAACCCAACGGCACATTGAGACAACCAAAAGTAGACAAGTTCTTGTCTCAGATACGTATCCAAACACATACATCGGAAGAACGGACAGTAAGATTCGTTTTCGCATTCCTATGTTATTGAAACTAAGAACAAAGAACAAACAGCTGTTTAGCGGTATAATCACTCGTCATTCACCAGAAACATGTTTTTGTTTCCAAGTCAATAAAAAAGACAGTATGTTGATGGCTTGGCACCGCTTACGTTTTTGGTGGTATTGTATGCTTTGACCCAAATAGTTTAATTAGATATCCCTAACTCATTAAAAATAGGCCATTATACTATATTCACTTGGTATTAATTGTTTGAATCTTTCTATTGATTTTTAGGACTGCGATTGATCAGTCTCTTATTGACATATATGTATACTGTGCGTATTGCCTCGATATAGCTTTATTTCACAAGCATTATAAGCAAAGATGGATGGTGACTAGCAGTGGAATCCAGAACGCGCGTTTCGTCCTATTTGGGACTCATCAGCTGGATGTACCTGCATCTCAGAGTTGATGTTCACTCTGGGACTCGAACTTAGTACCTTTTGCACAAGCAAGTGGCTATCAGGACTCAGTAACTGAGTGGATAAGGTGATAGCGTTTGAGGCGAACGATACTGGATTCGAGTCCCGGGATGAACGTCAACTCTGGGATGCAGGTACATCCATCTGACGAGTCTCAAGTAAGACGAAACGCGCGCCCTGGATTCCACTGCTAGCCATCATTCATCTTTGGTTATATTGAACTCAATGTTTGATAAATTCAATTTGAACGAATCGAATTCCAATGCCATATACTGATAGAAGTAATGGACATTTATTTCGGTGTAACTCGATTACATTGAGTTTTCGAGTAATCCCTAGAATAAATAAATCCAACTGTTTAACAAGAATATACAAGATTGTCGTTCAAACTAAAGAGCATTGTTTTGGAAGCTGACAATTTGGATATACACAACAAAAACAAAACGTGTATACACTAAAGCGAATGTGTAAATTCCAGCTTGGTTAGACAGCTCAACATTGTATCTTTTATCTTCCAGTATATTCATTTATCAAGATACAGTTATATGTTAACAGTTAGATAATAGTGGGAAAAAATAAACAATATACATCTCTTATACATATTCATTTAAGAAGTTTAATGATAAAAGGATTATAGATCGACCAATCAACCAAGTATAATGAAATTTTCATATTAGTCTATATGCAAACGAGTACATGATTTACTTGAAATTGTGAGACACATTTGTAAACACGCGTATAATTTGATCGTTACTGACTAATCAGAAGAATTATATACAGAAAAAACTTTGCTAAACTTAGTATGAAAATCACTTTGTAGTGTAGCAACAAACTGATAAACTGATCTTTGATCTCAACCGAAACCTGCAGGTGAAAATGACCTATTTAAAAAAACTATACTAAAGTAATTCCACAACAATTTATGCTGGATGATTACCAAAAAATGACACAATGCCTTGAACTTTGATTTCAAACTTGTTATCATTCATTATAAAAAATATTCACCAATATTGACAGTTATTGCAGCACTCACCATATAAAATATGAGATAAACGTACCTGTATAAACTACATAACAAGAACACTTGCCAAAATAAGTTAAAGCAAAGCATAATCGGAAATTAAAGGAAAAAGAAATATAACATATAATCATCTAAGATTAAATGAGTTTATGATGTATATAGGAGAAAAAAATTTCTTAACAGGTCAGTGTCTATCGAATGAGAAATGAATGAGTCATTAAGTATAAGAAATTTTCAAATAGTTAGGGATTTTACATTCTATAACATCAAATTACATACAACAAACTAATCTCATTTGCTTATCTTTTTTAATCTTATTATAATCATCATTATTCCAATTTTGTTTGTTTATTTGCTATCCCCCCCTCGGGCAGCAGTATAATAAATCCCATGAAAAACCCGATATTTTAACAAATTCTATGTAAAGAAACTTTTTAAAAAATTAAGTATTTATATTAACATTGCTGAACAAATTGATGAAATTAAAGAACCGAATATAATTAAGAAAACTACATAAACAGGAAACACGCTAATAAAATAATAGAAATTTAGATAATCGATTCCGATCAATAATAGAGATAATTTGTTAAATATCAACAATTTCCACTAATTATATTTAACATGAACCATAAACTTGATTAGATGAAAGTGATCTGATATGAACATGGTATAAACGATTGTAATAAGAGGCGTTATATGATCACATCTAGAAGTAGAATAATGACAATTTATCAGGAAATAGAAATTTAGTTACCAATGAATTAGATAAGAAAATCCGGATTCTCAGTATCAAAAATACCTTATTTGTGCAATTTTATAAATCCACATGGTTGAATGTATGAAAATAGAAAATGTAAACAGAAAGTTCGCTGTTTGAAGACTGACACTACTGTATATAAAAATCAACTTGTATTTATGGTTAATAAATAATCTGGTTTAAGTATGCACCAAGTTACGAACTACAATAGTCATGTATAAATTAACAATAATGTTTAGTTACTCAAGCCTCAGAAGGACCGAAGCTTGAATTATAGACCTTAGATCAACAGCTTATAACAGTAAAAGGCTACCAAGAACAAAGTATAGTGCCGATTACCAAAAACTCAGAGTAAATGAATCTAAAAAATAAAACCGCAAAATTGTCACGAGTTTTCGATACTTTCTCGTAAATTACTCTAATCCTGATCAGGTAAATTACTGCATCAATACAAGTGTCAGATTATGTCAATGATGCTTTATTACTCTAATAAAGAATTTACATTAAGTGATATGTCCAGTCCTCAAATTTCACCTCACTACAATTTGCTGGTTCAGTATATTAAGAATCACTTAGATGCATCATGTATAGCCATAAATCACGATCAATATAAAGTATAAATTAGTCATTTTAGATTCCTCAACTTGTGCTCTAAAATAAAAGCAAGACATGTAAGATAGTAACACCAACAAACAGAGAAATGCCTATCAAATATAAATGTTACTTGGGTGAATTAATGAAGCTTCCAAAATCGTCAGTATTGTGTTATTTATAATTTAATAGCTAGACTACTACTGTCGATACATAGATGACACACTAATCGTATGTGACGAAATTGTCGACAAACAAGAGATGTTGGACTTTTTCAATAACGTCCACCCAGCTATTAATTTCACCAGCGAAGAAGAGAAAGACAATAAAATAGCTTTTCATTGACGTCTTACTTTCTGGAAGGAGAGACGGTTCCATAAAACGAAATATATTTAGAAAGAATACATGGACGGGTCAGTATACCCATTTCCAAAGCTTCACACCTCTTCAGTATAAAATAAATTTGGTTAAATGTCTCAGCCACAGAATCAAGCTCTTATGTTCTGAGGACAGTGTTGATAGCGAAATAGATATACTAAAGAACACGTTACGTTAAAAATACCTACTAGAAAATATTAATAAAAAAGAAGAAATTGTGACTCAGGGAGTAAAAAAATCCTGTATCTGTGACCGGACTTTAAAGGTGACATGGTGGGTGATATTCTAACACGTCGACTGAAAAGATCTGTTGAAAGGACGTTTCACGTCGTCAAACTACATATAATTTTCTCAACTAAACCAGTACTTACACAACTAATCAAAGATAGGTTACCGAAGATGGGCTCTTCCATGTGTGTATACCAATTCAACTGCTCCTGTGGAGCTAGTTTCATAGGCCGTACTTAGAGAGCTTTATCCTTGCGTATTCGTGAACATCTACCAGCATGGTTGGGAAAAGGAGTCACCAAATCCATTAACAGCACCATCCTTTCTCACTTGGTAGATAGTGAACATCATATCAAAATAGAGGAAGCTTTCTCTGTTTTATATGAAGTTCCGAAAAATCTACCTCAAGGAGCTAGATTACGGTTACTCTACATAGCCGAAGCCATCTGGGTCAACTCCAGAAAACCAAACTTATGTATCCAGAAAAGGTATATCCAGCCTCTATGTTTACCTTGACCTACGACTGGATCACCGGATACCTAAACTGAATATTATAAACCTCTTCCCTCCCTTTTTGATTACCTCTATCTTAATCTTCACATCCATCATTCCCAATTCATAATTACTTTGATAACACCCTTCTTATTACGTATTATATTCACACAACAATCTTATTATTATCACTATTTGTCATTATTATCTCAATTGACAAGATGGAATTCTCCTGCTATGAATTTTATTCATACGATTTTTCGTATTTTCATTTTTGCTATATTACTAATGTACTGATTGTGACTGGACACTTTACTACAAATCATCTTGACCTTTATTAAATGACCTTTCTAATTTACAAATAACACAATTTTAAAGTATATATATGTCGTAACAGCTGCAAACGTTTACCATTTTTAACATATAACATTGTCAAATTAATTAATACATTCCTCATTTTGGCCTTTGTAAAATATCATAATTATGGACTTATAACTATAGAGCCTGATGATGAAGTTATTGAAAACAATTGTTCGCTCAAATATTGCTTATTTTTGAATATTCTATGAGGATCGTTAAACTGCCAAAGATCATGTATTTTTTTTTATTGTTATCTGTAATGCTTTCATTTCTCCGACAATGGAATTATGCGCAAATAACAATATATTAGGTACGGACAAAAGTAGACAAACCAGATGAAATAAACAATCTATGAGAAACTATATGTCGATTCACCTAATCACATTTCCTATTAGCATAGTTAAAGAGGAGACTAACAAAATGAACATTAAGCACGTAGAAATAATAATAACGACGGTAGTAAAAGTTAAAATACATGAAATAATGTTTTTTTTTAAAAACAAATAAAATTATGGGATGAAAAGCATGGGAGAATATCATGTTCAAGATTTAAAAGGAGACTAAACATTAACCCAACTATGTTACTATCTTTGATCCCATAACATAACACTACTAACTATGGTTAACGATTATCTAGCTGACTAGTAGACTAACAGTCTGCGCAAACAAAACGACTCAGAATAACATTAAATAATTCTATGGACTGTTCCTATGCTTTTTTATTAGGTCCCTCTTGATCTTTATCTGACCCATTTCAATGCTAGTGACTATTGCGGTGGCTGAGACGTGTGTTACGCATCCCCAAACACTTTAGTCAATTAAGCTTCTCACACACATCGATTGAACCACTATTTTTATCTAATACCCAATGCGCAAACTAAGTTTTATTTACTCAGCATTTACATCATGTGGACAGTTCATCAAAGCCATCTGTGATCAGTTACTACTAGTATAATCATGTCTTTTATTTCCAAAGATTATGCTTTACTGTCATTCTGTACTAAAGAGAAAACTAATTAACACTGTACACTACTTGATAATCAAAAACAACAACTTCACTATCTAAAACCAAACTGGATATCAACCCAGACGATCCTTGAGACATATTTCTAGTTATAAGGAGCCAGACTAAGTCTTAATACTTAACAACCATACTGAAAGTGTTTAGAAGACTTTCATCCGCCTAGGTCAGGTCACTAGTGAAATATCAAGATGGCAGATTAATTTTTGACAAACCAAACGAAGCACTGAATAGGTAAAACTAGGGAAACTTCGCAAAAACGAAATCAGTAGAATAATAATAACACTATAAATGAAATCAAAAACCCTTACGTTTTTATCTAAAGTAGCTTCTACTCGAAGACTACCTACGCTCATAAGAAAATCTCGTGATAATTCAGCTGACGGTTGTTGACCTGGTTCATTAGGTGCATATGTCAATTTACGAACGGCCATACGTACGGAATTCCTAAAACACAATAAACACAAGATGGGAATTAAACGATCAACTATGTAGAAGAAAAGATGTATCAGAGAGAAATAAATTGAGTTATAATTCTTGATGTGACAAACAGGAACAAATATTGAATTCAGTCATATGGAATAAGCTACAATTGATTATTGGTTACAGCAAATTACTTGTACGATATTACTTATGTGAACCGAAAATATAATATCTAAAAACTGTTAAGTTCTATTATCTAGTCAACTGTTTAAAAGTGCTAATGTAAATTCAGTACACGAATATAAGTTTACTTACAAGACAGTTTGACCCATAATTATTCTGTGACTGGCATTACTAATACCTGAAGTTCAAGACGGAGGCAAGTGGGGCGAGTTTTGAACAAGTTATAAAATGGCCGAGCCTTTTAATCAGTGAGCTAATGCTCTACATGTAAATTAGTTTCCACCTGTACATATAAGATCACTTCTAACTTAATTTTCTTGTCTTTAATTACTTTAACATCTTTTATGTCTAAGCTAATCATTATCAGTAAAAAACTTCAAATTACTGCATATTCATTTCTTGTCGAGACAATCTAGATCTTTTGCTCTTCTTAAACAATAGTGCGAATAAACTTAAAATACAAGGATGAAGACAGACAAACAAATAAAAGAATGACCTATCCCAACATGATATCAAAAAAAGACAATATAATCAAACTGTTTACCACACATTTTTCGCAGTACCCGATTAATGTAGACAAAATGAACAATCAAAAACATAGAAAATCTCATTTATCAAAATCCTTTTATTTAGGAGATCACTGCGTGAAGTAATTGACCTAACTAGCTAAACTAATCCAATGTAACCTAATTAGTGGCTGTTACATGTAAAGTAAAGGTGACTATGAATTTCATATTTAAGCTTACTTATTTCTTATTATATACTGTTGAAATCGAAATGAGTCAACAGTTTTACATAAGATAAATCATCTAAAACTACACAACAAAAATTTACAAATTGTCTGGTGGTAAAAGCATCAAACAAAGCATAGTCATGGATGAAATAAAAAAACTACAAATCAAGAGTGAACAAACCAAACGATAGAGACTTAAATACGCCGCATAAATGTTTTACCTCTTTTGGATAAAAGTGACCTACTTACTTGATGTAAATTTGCACAACTTTCTTAACCAGTGATTTTACAAACAAGTTATTGAACTAGCCATCTATAAACTTTCTCGTATTTATACTTCTACAAAGTTCACCACTTACAGGAAACTAGATATCGTGTAACTCTGCATTACAGGATTTAAAGAAAAATGCTGGTCAAATTACGATTACTGTAAAATGATTTCCGATTGCAACAATTAACGAGTGAGATTGAGTGCACTAGATCACTGGTGACTTCGGCTTTTAGGCTGTAGCAACTTTTTAATAATTAGACATTAATGGTCCAGTTGTCTCTAAATTACTACGTAATTTAAACGGTTACATAAATTTCCGTAATTCATGAAAGAGATGGTGGAGAAGTCTCAAACCAAATGCCAATTTTCCTATCTTGTTGTGCTGATTTGAAGTGTAATGACCTGAACTGATACACAATCTGGTCAGGTTCTATATTGACTTGACAGGAAGAGGATCTTAGTTGGAAATCAAGCAAGATGCATGTATGTGTACATCTTAAAGTGATTGATTAAAGTGTACTGCCAAGAAAAACAACTTAAACTTTAGGTAAAATTTATCAAATAACTTTTTCCCTACCTTTAGAAAATAAAACTAATCATAATCAATAAAATAACTCAAACAAAAGCATGCAGCTGATTTTGTGAATAGAAAAAATAGTTTGATTAGAAAACAGTTACAGACATACAAGAAACTTTTCAAACTACAATACGTAAGAATAGGTGGATCTAAGAATGAAAATATGTATGTAATATGAAGAATTAAATTTTTACGACACTAAGATTAAATTTACATAATTATTAGAATAGGTTTGAACTATTCTGTTGCTGACATTATCGACTAGACTTTAATGTTTTGTTTGGCATATATACAATCTATGTGCGTTGCCTCGATACAGGTAATTTACAGGATGTACACATGCCAACCAAGACTGAACAAGATTCAGTCAATATCAGCAACGGGATAACTCGAACCCATTCTAATATTGACATAAGTATCATACCGGTCGCACAATTGAGTGGCTACCTGGACTCAGTAACTAAGTGCATAACGCGTTGACGTTTGGAGCAAAAGGTATGGTATGTGCTACTTATATAGACAGATATAAGTAGTATGTAGCAAGAAGCAGGATTCTTACTAAAAAAGGGGGAACATGGGAAGAGAAGGAAAAACAGAAGCAGTCCGAGTAGCAACAAGAATGAAGGAACGATGGAGCTTGTACAGGACAATTCAAGAAAGATATCCAAATTGCGCATTCGATGTATTGTTTTCATATGTTATAAATGCAGTGTATGATTTGCGTGATAAAAAGTTGGTTTACCCTACCCGAGTCTTCGTTCATAACAAAGGTATTAGTTTCGGGTTCCAGTGTGAATGCCGACAACAGGATCCAGGTAAATCAGTCCTAAATAGAACGAGATACGAGTCCTAGTCCCTACTGCTATCTATATATCATCTATTTGACAAAAGACATGTTGTATATATAAGGGATAGACGAGTGAGTAGTGCCTAGACTTTTGATATTACCTACTGCCATAGGCCGAAGAATTCACAATATATGTACCTCATGGTTAATCACTGATAACTTCGGTACGGAATAAGAGAAGCAAGAAAAAGATTAAATGGTACTAATGATTAAGACTACTTCTTTATGTAAATGACTATCCGTGCTAAACGTGTATCATAATACAAACGTTTATGACTCAAGAAGTTCCATCATACGGCTAAATATCGATCAGTATGACTAATATGTATACAATGTTTATCTCTCACCGAATTATTAATTTGCATTAGTTTAGCCTCCGTTTTCTCTGACAGTTTTTATATTACAATTACCGTAACATTCAAACCGATATTCAGATATTATACACATTAACTAATAACGGATTTATCACTTTAACTTGCCACAACTCTCGGGGAAATCGGAACAGAAAGTTACTAATCGACAAAATAATAAATAGAACTATTTGGTGATGACTAAATATATAAAGAACTCAATAAATAAATGTTTATGATCTTGTATGGAGTGAGGGTTTCGCACTATTTTGTCCTACTTCTCCGACCGCTAATTACCAACATCTAATGAATCTTACACTCCCAGACCCATCAACAAGTGACACATTTCATAGGATTATCATGATCTAATCAACATGAGATAAATACCACTATACTCTCAACTTAACTAGCGTCTTATACCAGAGGAAGTCATGGATCAATGCGTTAACCACAAGCCACATGTCACTTGATATATGTAAAATTTAAGCGTACTGTTACATTATAACATTTTGGTTACTTTTCAAAAAAAAAAGTAGAAAACGATTGGTATCATGACAACTTCCCTACATGTAGTGAATTAATAGAAAATAAAATATACATATAAATGATTGTTCCCAGAAAAAAATATATCAAAATATAATACACCTTTTTGAGTTTTGCAAAAGTAACATTCATGCCGTAACATGATCCCAACAGGCATATACACATTGGTTACTTGTATTAGACAGCTGAACAGATGATTATTTCAACTAGAAAAATATATATACAAGAATTTATTTACCTTTTTTGTGGTTTATCATCCTGATCATCAGCTACATACACCTTTAATTCATATTCAACTCGACAACGCTGTAGGAATATTGAGAATATAGGTAGATTTTAAAAAGCATGTTCACCTTTTTAACGAGATAGTAAGGATGGTATAGCTAGGTTTTTTACCAAAGGAATGACATTAAACATTTAGAAAAGATACACTACTAAGTGATATATGATTTATGTGTCTATCTGTCTAACTTTTTATTAACTTTAAGAAAATAAACAACGGTTAGAAATAACACAACTAACCAATCTTTAGCTCCTTCGATACATTTTCAATATAAGTGGTGTGTAGAGAAGTAAATACCATTCTAACTTCATACTATTTTCATGAGAATGTCAAATGACTTTACAACTTGCCAAAACACCAACGAACGCAACAATTTCCAGAAAACTACGATAGAAATAATCACAAGCTTACTAACAACTGAATTTATGAAGAATTACCGAAGTTGAAGTGATACTTTTGGTCAGTGAAGTTCAACCATATCAAGAGTGAAACATAACACCGATGATGTTGAATGGCCGAGCAGTGTCCAGAACAATATGAAGTCAAAAATGCAGAACATTAAATTCTGCATGCCTCCTGATGGTCTATAGTTCGGTTCTTAGAGAGGTCATAAATGTGCACCACTGGAATTCCAAAACTACTGTCCATTACCTGCTGGTTTTAATGGTTGAGTTTATTTCTCCATATAGATTAACTTAAAATTCCACTGATCCATTCCCACTGAAGGTCCGATGCTTTAAGACTAACCACACAGATACAAATATATAGTTCAAAAACTTATATAGAGCATTAGCTTTCTTTATTTACTCACGAATTAGCACAAAACAATATACATATATAAATAAAATTACATAGTAAAAGGGACTATAATTCTAAAAAAGATCATAGAATAACAAACAATAAAATATTGATGTAACTCAGTAACCAAGCATAAAGTTTCATACTAGGGGATCACAATTTTCACGTGAGGACTAGAGGTATATGTCGGTTCAAACTAAAGTGCATGGCATATGATTTGAATCTAATGTCGAATGGTTAGAAAATAAATCCCTAAAAAACTGAGTACATCTGCAGATCTGTTGACTTTTTATACATTTTTTGTATTTCACAATCTTATCATCAGAAGATCAATCTATAGAGCGTGAACACGTTTAGTTGATCACAATCATCTTACGTCAGTTGTATGAAATATTAAAACCCATATATAGGAAGTACACATCACGAGAGCTTTTAAGGACGATCAGATTATTAGATACATAAAATTTATGAAACGAGAATGATGTAGTATGATTTTACATTTATGTTAAAACGTGCAAGTAATCCTAAATTAGGTATTACTAGTCCATACCTACTTATTACTGTATCATAAGAGTAACTGTGCCATAAAAAACGGTCTTGAATAAACCTGTAAACTATGTGGTAGTAACTATTCTTACATTAAAAAGTAGTCTGATTCACAAGTCACATTTAGCCTCAACTGTCTTAGTCAGTGGAACTATACATATTACAACATTTAGTGACATTCAACAACTAAGCCTTCTGGTTTCTATTCATTCAGAAAAAATTGAAACTTTGTATGAGTGGCTAATAATATAAATGTCATATATTTTTCGAACGTATACGTGGTCTAATTTCTTATTCTAAAATAATTACAAACAAAATAAAATACTACAGAAAATCAAAAGACTCAAAATTACTTTTCCACGATCAGACGGGTTCAATAGTATGGACACAGAGGCAGGTGAATAAGCTGGAAGCTACAGGATCAAAACATTTAAAGATATAAACATTGTTTTAAAGTATCAAGATTAATAACATATTTATCGACCTGCAAACGCTTTTTCACAGATCGAAGTGAGTAGGGTATCGGTGAAATTAATTAATATTATGTAACATATCTAACGGAACACGACATTTTAGTCGGACGAAATATTCTCTTTCCACAGAATTTATTCTCAAAACTGTACAATCACGAACATATAGTTTACCAGTGATAACGCAATATTTTTGTTGATAACAACAAATTACCAAAAATAGTGACGGAGGAACAAAATAGTGTTATCTTTACTAAGAAACTGACAATGTAATTGTCAAGACCTTGGATCTTCATCAAGGATGTCATATTTATTTATTTCTAGCCTATAGATTAACACAAGATGCCTTAAATCTTAGATACAAAAAGATGGATTAACTTAAGTCAGATCTATTAAAGGGATTAACAAAGCACCTGAGCACACAAACTTAGTTACGGGAAGTAAGTAGTTCTATTAATTACTTTTTGGATACTTAAACCAATGAATCCCAGTTAATTAACCACTAGAAACGATTGTGAAAGGGAATAAAATGTAAGCCGAATATCTCTGACACAACTAGATGATTGAAAACTCAGGAGTAATAAACCAATGCATGTGGCTTTCCGTTGGCTGTTAACAAATAACTAGCACATAGTCACTTTGTATAACATGGTCAGAAAGTTGTCAGACTTGTTAGATTTAGAAACCACTCAAGGCTTTATGAAAGCCAACAATATAACCTTGAGGTCCACATTTCAGTCGGTCGAATGAGAACAAAAATGTGAAAACAATAGCTAAAACTTAAAAGTGAGACTAAATAAACACTGTCTATAGGCATTTTAACGATTATAAAGCAATTCGAACTCATAAAACTTGGTTAACTAATAAAAGACCATTATGATAACCATTACTCAGTAACACTAGGAAGATAACTGTGACGTATTTCCCTTAAAAGACGAAAACATTTGACTTTATGGGTTTTTTAATGCATACAACTAACATCAGTTAATAGTAACCAAATATGGTTTTAGTCAAATTACCTGGAAGTAGAAAGGAAAAGCATTTGAACCAAGTTTTCGAATTAGACGTTCCTGTAATCGAGTGCGTCCCGGAGGTTCAGTGAACTTGTGTAGTAAATTTGATGACAGCTCAGTGGCGTTTCCATTTTCAGATAAAAGAATTGGTATATGAGACTTCAATACCTTGGAGCCAAATGGTGGATACACTTGTTTAGTCATTAGGCAAAGATCTTTATGGTAGTTCAGTCCAAGCAAATCGACTTCGTCCCGGCCGTACCAGAACGCACCCAAAAGATGTACAAATACCTTTCTATGTTTGACATAGTCCGGATCCACTAATACAACACCCTCTATTGAAAATGAGAATAAACTAACGTGTGAGAAAATTCAAAACCATAATATTAAAAGTTGTAAATATATCTGAACTTAGCTCTATATTTTATAATATACAGAATCATGTTACAAATTTTTAGGAAATAAATAATCTGCAAAATTAACGCTACAGATATTTAATCAGTGTGAAGAAATAAAACGAATGGGAAATATTTTTTATGTGATAGAATGAATAGCGAACCCAGAAGTTAATTAAAAACGCAGCGGTGTGAAACAAACAAGATACGCTTTGTGCCGAATACCTGGAAAGTCTGTAACTCGTTGCAAAAACTTTATTTGGTGCCCTAACTTTACTTCTTTTAGGTCAAACCAGTTGAGATGCGCGAAGTTTTATATTTGAAAAAAGGTAAACCATAACTATATACAGAAAAATGAGGCACCAAAAGAAACCGGTACAAACTAAAGAGTGATTCCAGAAAACAATCTCGGAAAGATTAAAAGGTTAAGGAAAATGCCAATAGCAAATAAGGATGCATATACGTGGTTAGGAAAATTATAAATAAGTACTGAATTTCAGTATACTAAACATATTTGCAAGAAACCTATACCAATAGCTTATTAAAAACTCATATAGTGATGGAATCATGAAGTTAGATTCTATTAAGACTACAGAAATATCAGCTTTAACATTCAAATACCAGACTAAAAGATAGTTTGCTTTACTCCCAAATATTTAATGAGTGGAAATTATTATGCATACACTTTAGAAACCGAAGCTCATTACTGATGAACTCAATGAATACAGTTGTCTCCAAAAGCGCATCATTTCAAATAACACAATGAAATGATTAGCAACTATACTTGGGTTTCACAATCTGTGAACTAGAAACTTCGATCTAAAAATTTCTACCTCTGTTTTGCTACTATATAAATATATCCAGGTAAATAAAAATATCCAAACCAGAAAAAATTTGGCAAGTCTTGGCAAAATCAGTCTCAACATGTTAACAACACTGACAAGTAATCAAATGGTGACTGATGCCTTGCTTTAAGTTGTCAGTATCTCAATTTATCGGAGTTGAAGGACGGTGAGCCACAAAAAGATACTTTAGTGTGAACCGATTTCAGCACATATACACGGACTATTCACAAAATCAACCCTAAGAAGGTGTAAGGGGCTAAGAAGGATATGTCGTCCTTTAGAGTCGAGAAGACATCCCACGGTGATTTTAAAGTGAATCTAAACTACAAGTATGTACGTTTTTATATCATCTTTCTGTGATTAACATCAAAATACTCAAAGACTACAGTAGTAAATTTTGAAAAATTAACTATATTTTATAAATATCTCAGAGAAATCCACCTTTCATAACGACTACAGGCTAACATGGTCTTTTTATGTAACCCATATTAAGATTTCGAAAGATAAAAAGTGAAGCAACATTTTACCACGGAAACTAGGTCATTAGTACAAAAAAAGAAGTCAAAATCTAAGCAATCAGATTTGCACCGAAAAATTAAATATGTTTTTCGCACACTTTGAAACACTTAGACTAATTATACAGTTTGATTGTGACATCAACGACCTACAATGAAGAATATTTGTATAGGGTCGATAAATGTGGTATTTTGGGCTGTACTTACTAGCTGTAATTGCCGTATGTGAAGATAAATTCACGAAAACAAGAAAATTCCCCATACCCAGAGAGAAGCTGCAAAGTTTTGCTTATCCTAGATAATGACAAAAATCATACTTTGTTAAACGTCTGAAAAAGCGATCCAAGAACACTTTGGGCACATTTCTCTTTCTCCTAACGCAGAAACCTGCATCAGGAATGGTCCGGACCAACTTTACCTACCAAGCACTTGTTTTAGAAAACTCATCAATAAAGGTGGTTCGGTAGCTGAGGAAATCTCAATACGGTAACAAAAAGCTTGTTGACATCAGTTATGTGAGGTTCTGACGAGGTGACTTCCTCAACATGTGTATGTTTTATGGCTAAACAGCCACCTCATAGCTCGGAGCGCTATGGTGGTTGAGCTAGGCTTAAGAAGTGTAACAGGTATCTAAGCTGAGTTTTCGTAACGACAATAAAATATCGGTGTTAATCTGAGTTTCGTCGAAGATTCGAATTCCAGTTGAGGCCGATGCGAAGAGCATAAGCTAAGATTGAAGCTTAGAATACATGTACGAGGAGCATACGTATTTACGCTTTGAATTTCTTCGAATTGTGTTTTTAGTACTATTTTAACCTTTTATATCATAATTTTTCTCCACAGCTATGATTTTGGACTGATTTTCTGCTGAAATAAGGACAGCAAGAACCAGTGCATACTCTAGTCGTGCAGCTGACTGTTCAACTAAGTGAGACAGGACATCAAAAAAGGTTCCAGTAGTAAAACACGCATGAACTGCCACAAAGGATAAAGACATAAAATAAATCAAAACCTCTACCACAAAAAAGAGCAACTGCACACTGCATCTAGAGTCTGTTGACCTGACCAAGCAATAATGGTTGACTTGTGTGAAAGCTCTTCCTAAAACTACTATACACGCGCAAGGGAATCAACTAAGATTTTATTTATTATTTATTTGAACACATAAATATTGGTACAAAGGGGCACCGAACATATAGGGCTGGGATACTGCCTGGGTGCCCAAACCGCAGCGGGTGGATTTCTTAGGGGACCACACCCCGAGTTTTCGACCTAAACATCTGATCCACAAGGCAGTGGAGCATCGTGAGGAGATGCAGTCCCATGATAGCCGGTGACCAATGATTCATTCATACGCCATTTGTCCCCTCAGGATACCGGGGCCCATGTGCACCATTGGTTTGGAATCAGAGTTTTCCAACTATCCTAGGTGGACTTTCCGTGTCCACCAACCCGGTTAAAGCGCCGGACATTCGCTTTTCGTCCTCTCAATTCCGTAAGCAATAACCCCGCCTCGAGAAGGCAGAGAGTATGACTTCCCTGAATACGATGCGGTAGTTAACTATGCATAAGTATACCTAGATGCGTTACATATGTACATATTCCTTAAGCTATAGAAGACAAATTGCAGCTGTTTGTCTGCTTAAAAGAAAATTCTACACAACCTACCTATGGGATCCACGTGAGTTAAATGATCCATAAAATCCCTTTTCCCTAGGTAGATTGTCAACTGACCAATAAAATGTGAAGAATAATAATTACCTTCCCATTTGGTGTAGACTTTTTAAAAATTCTACTTCGCAAAAATATACTGAAAATAATTTAATTTTACCTCGTTCCGGGTTTGTGAACTTCTTCTGAATTCATTTTCAAAACCTCATTATCCATTAGTTTGACTCGACACGAAACTTAGTAAGCCAGAACATAAGCAACATTAATAGACTAAGCTGTATTTCAAGAACAAACTAGATAATTATTTATAATATCCCACTGTTTTCTGCATAACTTAAGCACTCGGTACCGCAATTTTCTAAAGTACCGGTGATTGTAAGATCTAATAAAATGGAATACTAAAACCACGAAACTAATATGTACACTATTTTTGCCACAAGCTTGGATAGACCGTTCGACGTTTTTGCGCTTGCCTCCTGTTGTCTCGGTATGACCCCGTGTACTGGGTAGTAGTCTAAGCACTCCATTGCACTAATTCTATTGTGTGGCGGTTATTTATGGGTACATATATCTTGAAGTTGAGTCAGTGCGTTTATCTGAAGGCACTATAGTTTCTGGATAACATCAGTTATCACATTATCAGATAAAACGTTGGTTGGTTATTATGTGAAAATAATAATGTGTTAATTTGATAGCTAAGCGATTATCTAGAGAATAAATCAATAATTTACCAAACAGATATGTATGAAGACAGAATTGAAAGGATAAGAGGTAAAACAAATACGATAATAAGAGAGATAGGACGTAGTAACTGGTTATGTGGTAATCATAATAGTGGTAGATTATCAAATACACACCAGACACAGCTGGTCTAAGAGGGAGATGGTAAAACATGAGTCAGTACGCGTTTGTAAAGTTCTTTCTCATGGCTATTCACCGATAGGAATGTGTTTACTTTGGTTGAGAGAGCATCTAAAATGAGAGCAACCGTTGATGAGAAAAAGTGAGTGCGTATCAGAGTGTTCTCCTTTTCATGAGCAATCTTTAGAGGGTTGCCTCGAGGAGCGTGATGATGGTGTTCTAATAATGTGTTTGACGTGCCCAATATATTGTACTCCATCATCAGATCTCTTATTCTGCTAAAATTCAACGAGAACAATCCTAAGATTTTTGAGTCTATCATCGTAAGATTGATATTTTGGACCTTCCACCCGCATGGTTACCCGCCTCCTCTGAAGATGAGGTGCAATCACATTATTGATTTCTAGATGGAGCCTTGCATGCTTTTCAAATGGTTTGAGGAGAAAACATGGGGTGATTACACTAAGTTGTCTTTGAATAAGATGAAGAGTTGTGTTAACCCTGACTGCATCTTCCACATAGTTTGAGCTGCGGTCTAGGTTCCTGTAGTTACGAAACCGATACCACACTCTGAGGAGAAATTCAGGAGCGAATTTCTATGTCGAATATAGGTGCTTTGCGTCAATGGAAGAGTGATGTTCGCGACATGACATTTCGACAGGTTAATATTCAATTCATTGTCTACTATCTATTGCCCGATTATTGTAGGGACCTTATGAAACTCAAATGAGTCGTTTTTGCTTTTCATAGACCTCCGAATCCTTGCTTCATCTTCATAATTCGGTGCCGCCGAGCTTATTTTATCTAACTCCTGGTAACGAGACTTTCTACACTACCTTTACTGTATTTACCTTAGTAACAAACATCCTGTTCTTCGGATAGTTTCGGAGCCAGGATAAAACTGAGCCGGTTAAACCATCTTTTCAACCTTCACTATAAGAAGTACATGAGATACTGCGTCAAAGGATTTTGGGAAATTGAGGAATATTACATGAACCAATATCTTATGGTCCCAGCAGGTGGTCCAGCCTTCTCATGCTGTGAGTGCATTAGACTCCCAGGACCTGACTTTCCTGTAAGTATCGGGCTTTGTAGGAGATATAGTTTTATCTACATATTCCCATTACCTTCGACGACATTCGGAGTAATTCAACTTATCTGCGACAGGCTAGGTCATTTCTATCTTCTTTGTTGAAGACTGGCGAGGGAGTGGCCTGTTTCCATTCTCTTAAGAGTTGTAGTGAAACTAGTGCGCGCACAAACAGACTTCCGCGCACTGTTTCAGGATTATAAGTCAGATGTTGTCAAATTCTGGTAACGTTCCTGCACTCAGTAATATTGGTCTCCGTAACACTAACCCGTATGTGAGTTCGAAATCTCACAGATCCTCAAATGGCACTTTCGCAATTTCAATTGGTCGGTGAAATTGGTATTAAACGTCTCTATGTAAGTGAGTTTTCTGCAATATAGCCGTCCCAAAATAAAGATGCCACAGATATTCGGCATTTCACAACACTTTGGGCCGCAAAACACTTGTAGTTGGAGAATGTTAGTCCAATCAAGTCAAAAGTCAGGGATGAGTGAGTTTAATGATATAGTTCGAAGTCGTCGATGTGTTGAGTAGTGTTTGATACAAGCTGAGTTGTTGCAAGAAAAACGTAGCGTAGCGTACTACCTCGCGATCAAGTGCAGATACATGACCGAATATCTACAGCTTGGATGTACCCAGTAGAACTAATGAGGTCAGTATCAATATCGAAGACTAACACTGGAAGAAGTTACTTCCTGCGGGGATTTACTCAAGGCTACTGATCACTCCTACTCTAGTGGAGTAGCGGTGACCCCAAGACGTGGTCAGACAGAAGACAAACTTAACGAGCAATCTGTTGGTAAAGACTCTTCTGATAGCTTGTTGAGTCTAAAAGCATATGGTTCTCTTTGCCCAACATAAAGAACCATATGATATAATATAACAATCAAAAATGTACGTTTAAAATTTCGATTCATTGTATTCCCCATCAGAAAGTTTTGTAATGTCATTCGTGCTGTGGTTGTTGAAGTGTTCGGAAAACCTCATAGGCCTTCAGAGTACGCTGTTTTTGGTTCCGTTGTTGTTACTGGTTATCTAGTAGGGCATCGTAATTGTGAAGCTTGTGTCTTCCAATTATACAGGATGGATATCAACATAAATAAGTTTTCTTTCTAAACACGATAATTTGAGACGGTCATGGCTGTTTTCAGAGTTAGCTCCGTTCTTAGCTATAGTATAGCGTTCTGGTGTGCTATAAAGGACTTTGAAGAGTCCCTTGCATGCTTATTTGAGGGGTCATCGCAACGTACGAAAACGAGTGTACTATGTCATAAGGCAGGTTGGATGGAAATATCAGTTGATTGCGGTTGCGTGGAAACAAGTTTTCCTGAACTTACAGCATTTGTAAACCTACTTGTGTGAAAATTTAGACCCAAATTCATTGAATACGATAAAGGATCTATTAATTCTCCCGTAAGTAGAAATGTCTCCCCCCAAACGAGTTTTACTACAGAAAATCCAACTTCAGCTTTCACTCAACTGCAAATACCGAGTGACATAAGTGGAAAAGATCTAGGTCACCATTATACGTTTGCATTTGAGAGTGAATCTTTTAACTGATAGTGAAATAGTCATATCAACACATTAGCTTGTGGATGATAGGTGGTCGTACTGAGTCGTGTGATTCCTAGTAGAGTAGAAAGACAGGAAAACTCCAGATTGTTACAGGGGTCCATGGTCTGAAGTAATATTTTTGGGGTAGCCGAAGTTTTCTGCCCATCATTAGATGAAAGAGTGGACCACTGTTTCGGTCGTAATATGTTTGATAGGTACCGCTTCTAACCATCGTACAATATGATCCACACATGTTGAGAGATATGATTATCCGTTTGAGTCTTGTCCAGCTAAATCAAGATAGACCTTGTCTAAACGCGGGTCATGAGTAAAGAAAGACCTTAAGGAATATTCACTGTGTCTATTCAACTCATATTTTGGCGGATGCACAGGAGTATCTGGTATATTGGCTATTCTGTCTTTTTGATCACACACGTCTTAACACTAGTTTGTGTTTTGAAGAATTACTTCAACTTATACTTACTACTATCGTTATTGTTAATTAAATGCATTCCAACACAACATTCGAGCGACGTGTGTCTGACCAAAGGAATTTTAGCGCAACACACCGAGAGATATCGCCAGAAGTAACCCGATGCATTCATGAAATGAACAATCTCACCGGTTGTTGTACGGCTTAATAACTGCAAGGTGTTAATCACAGCCTTTCGTTATAGAATTATTAAATAGTGGGCTCCATAGGGTACCGGCAAGTATATGGATATGTATAGGCTAGTACTACTGTTCACCTTTCTCTGGACCTTTAAAAGAAAACGTCCGAATTATTCAAACTGTATGCCTTGGGAATATTGCACGAGTGTTAACGATAAGATGATTGCGGACGATCAACGAAACCTGTAATATTTAGGAGTATTTGAATTAAAGTGTAGACGGCGTCAGGTTGCGATCGACTATGATCACCACTACAATAAGATTACGCGCCAGATAACGACTTGGTTCCCTCGATAGGCCAAAAACCAGAAGTCTGTTATTGGTCCAGATGCGATATGTTTATTGGCGATCTCGTGGTATCGAAAGAATACCGAGATGTGTCAATGAGTACAGGCAAAACGGCGGAGAGTAAGAGAGTTCGGACGAACAAGATGGACACCTAGGAAGTTGCTCAATTGTAAGACTGAATGGGTCTTTATTCCATATCCATTTCAATTATTTGGCTGTCTGATTTGTCATATTTCACTTAAACTCTTCTTGATATCAGTGGAGACTGCAATTAAAGATAGATCACAGTTTAAGTATACCTGCTCCATCTTACTGAAATTTACTGGTTTTACGTTTTCAGTTTGTCTGCGTGCAACAGAGTCGTTTGAGAATATTACGTACACTTCCTTCATTTGCTAATTGTCTTCACGTGTATTTGAGATTTCTTTTGGTTATTTCAACTTGTAACAATAAATTTCCTTAAATTCCACTTCCGTTATCATATTTCATTTTAGCTGTTGTATCGTGGTTATACTCGGGTATAGTTTGTGAATGAAAATTTCGTATAACAGTTAGTGCATCTAGGCATTGTAGATAACATCTATCTTTAAAGGTTTCTAAGATATCACTAAGATTTCAGTGAAACTGTCCTGATCCTCCTCATTATATATAGATAATTCTTACTTTCTCTGTTTCTCGTAAACAACCATCTCCATAGTCTTGATAACTAAACCAATTAAACTCACAAGAAACTAATCATCAGGGTAATTTTGAAAGTCTATTGTAATAAATGAGTTACGTTTTTCACCTTTTTAAACGTTTTCCGAATCCGTCGAACTAAATGCAGACGTGATCATATACATAAGCATAGTTAATCATATGAGATCCTAATACAATGTGATTTTTGGGTGAAGGTTAATTTTGAAATAAATTAATCGTTCAAACAGAATAGACGCCTATATGAGAAGCATTTACTAGAAACATTTTTCTGTTATAAGAAAGCGTTAATCCAATGACTGTTCTACAATTACCCGTCACTGGCCAACCTAGTTAATACTGATACCAGATACAATAACGTAAAATAACCAAATAACAAAAATAACTAGC